CAGGTTTGCAGATGACACCAAGCTGGGAGGTGGTGTGGATCTGCCTGAGGGCAGGGCGGCCCTGCAGAGGGATGTAGACAGGCTGGAGCGCTGGGCCGAGGTGAATGGGATGAGGTTCAAGAAGGCCAAGTGCCGGGTTCTGCACTTTGGGCACAACGACCCCATGCAGCGGTACAGACTTGGGGGTGAGTGGCTGGATGAGTGTGAAGAAGAGAAGGAGCTGGGGGTGTTGGTTGGTGCTGGGCTGAACGTGAGCCCACGGTGTGCCCAGGTGGCCAAGAGGGCCGGCGGCATCCTGGCCTGCATCAGAAACAGGGTGGCCAGCAGGAGCAGGGAGCTGAGCATCCCCTGTACTCAGCGCCGGTGAGGCCGCACCTCGAGTGCGGGGTTCGGTTTGGGGCTCCTCACTCCAGGAAAGATGTGGAGGTCCTGGAGCGTGTGCAGAGAAGGGCAGCGAAACGTGCGAGGGGTGTGGAGCACAAGCCTTGTGAGGAGCGGCTGAGGGAGCTGGGATGGTTCGGTGTGGAGAAGAGGAGGCTCGGGGGAGAGCTGATGGCACTGCACAAGCTGCTGAAGGGAGGCTGTGGCGAAGAGGGGTTTGGCCTCCCAGGCAACGAGCAGCACGCGGGGCGATGGCCGCAAGCTGTATCAGAGGAGGTTGAGGTTGGCCGTAAGGAAGAGCTGCTTCTCCCTGAGAGTGCTCAGGCTCTGCAATGGCTGCCCAGGGAGGGGGTGGAGTCGCCGTCCCTGGCGGCGCTCCAGAGGCGTCTGGACGACGTGCTGCATGCTGTGCTTGAGTACCAGTGGTGGCAGTGGTGATGAGGAGGCGCTTGGACTGGATGATCTGAGAGGTCGTTTCCAACCTTGGGATTCTAGGATTCTATGGCTCCCTATGGGTCCCTATGGCTCGCCATATGTCTCTGTGGTTCCCAAAGGGTTCCCTTTAGAGCCCTATGTTTTCCTATCGGTCCCTAAGGGTCTCTAAGGGTCTCTACAGGTTGCTGTGGCTCCCTATGTATCTCCATGGGTCCACATGAGTCCCTATGGGTCCCTATGGTTCTCTTTGGGTCCCTATGGGTCCCGATGGTTCTCCATGTATCTCTATCTGTCCCTTTGGGTCTCTTTGGTTCTCCATGGGTTCCTGTGGTTCTCTATGTGTCCCCTGTGGGTTTCTATGGGTCCCTATGGCTCCATATGCGTTTCTATGGCTCCGAATGTATCTCCAAGGGTCCCTATGTGTCCCTATAGGTCTCCATGCATCTCTATGGGTCTCTATGGGTCCCTAAGCATCCCTAGGTGTACCTATGGGGCTCTATGAGGCCCTATGGGGCCCTACGGGTCCCTATAGGTCCCCATGCATCTGTCTCTATGGGTCCCTATTGGGTGCAATGGGTGCCTATGTGTCCCTAAGGATTCCTATGGGTGCCTATGTGTTTCTATGGGTCTTTATGGGTTGCTATGGGTCGCTGTGTATCTCCATGGGTCCCTATGGGTCCCTACGGGTTTCTGTGGGTCTGAATGGATCTCTATGGCTCCCTATGCACCCCATGGCGCCTTAGGGGTTCCTATGTGTCCCTATGGCTTTCTAGGAGTCCCTATAGCTTCCTGTGGGTTTCTATGGATCCCGATGTGTCCCTATGGATCTTTATGGGTCGCTATGGGTGCCTGTGGCTCCCTATGTCTTTCTACAGATGCCTATGGGTCCCTTTGGGTTTCTATGGGTCGCTGTGTTTCTCTATGATTTTCTATCAGTCTGAACGTATCTCTATGGTTCCCTATGGTTCCCTATGTTCCCCTAGAGGTCTCTGTGGGTCCCTGTGGATCTCTATATGTCTCTATCGGTGCCTATGGGTTGCTATATATCTTTATATTTCCCCATGGTTCTCTACGGTTTTCTATGGATCTCTATGGGTGCCTATGTGTCCCTATGGGTCTCTATGGTTCCCAATGGAATCCCTTACTGCCCTATGGTTTTCTATGCATCTCTATGAGTCCCTATATATCTCTATGATTCCCTATGTGCCCCTATATGTCTCTATGGCTCCCTATGGATCTCTGTTTCTCTAAGTGTCCCGATGTCTCCCTATGTGTCTCTATGGATCTCTATGGTTCCCTATGAATCTCTATGGGTCCCTATGGGTGTCTATGGCTCCCTACGGTCTCTACGGGTCGCTACGGATACCTATGTGTCCCTATGGCTACCTATGTATTTCTATGGGTCCCAAAGGTTTCCTATGGGTCCCAAAGGTTCCCTATGGGTCTGTATGGGTCGCTATATTGCTTATGGGTCCCAATGATTCCCTATGTATCTCTCTGGGTCCCTATGGGTCTGTATGGCTCCCTATGGCTCCCTATGGTTCCCTATGTATTCCTATGGGTCCCAAAGGGTCCCTATGTATCTGTATGGGTTGCTCTGGGTTGCTATGGGTGGCTGTGTATCTCCATGGGTCCCTATGACTCCCTATGGGATTCTATGAGTTCGAATGTATCCCTGTGGGTCCCTATGGGTTCTATAGGTCCCTATAGATCTCTATGGATCCCTTTGGGTCCTTATGGGGTCCTATGCATCCCTATGGCTCGCTATGTGTGTCTATGGCCCCCTGTGGGTCTACGGGTCACTATGGCTCCCTACGGCTCCCTACGGCTCCCTGTGGCTCCCTATAGCTCCCTAAGGCTCCCTATGGGTCCCTATGGTTCACTATGCATCTCTATCTGTCCCTATGGGTCCCTATGTATCTCTATGGCTTTCTGTCGGTCCCTATGGCTCGCCATAGGTCTCTATGGTTCCCAATGGGTCCCTACAAATCCTTATCGTTTTCTATGGCTCCCCATGGGTCCCTATGGTTCCCTATGTATCTCTATGGTTCCCTATGTGCCCCTATAGGTTTCTATGGGTCCCTATGGATCTCTATGTTTCTCTGTGAATGCATATGGGTCTCTATGGCTCCCTATGGGTTTCTATGCATCCAAATGTATCTCTATGGGTCTCTATGATTCTGAATGTATCTCTATGGTCCCCTGTTGGTCCCTATGGTTCCCTATGTATCTCTATGGGTCCGTATGTTCCCCTAGAGGTCTCTATGGTTCCCTATGGATCTCTAGGTGTCTCTATCGGTGCCTATGGGTCGCTGTGGGTCGCTACGTATCTTTATATTTCCCTATGGCTCCCTATGTATCTCTATGGGTCCCTATGGTTAACTATGTATCTCTATGTGTCTCTAGGGGTCCCTGTGGTTCTCCATGTATCTCTTTCTGTCCCTTTGGGTCTTTTTGGTTCTCCATGTGTCCCTGTGGGTTTCTATGGGTCCCTATGGGTCTCCATGGGTCCCTATGGTTCCCTATGTATGTCTATAGGTCCCTATGTGCCCCTATAGGTCTCCAGGGGTCCCTATGGTTCCTTATGGATCTCTATGGGTCCTTAAGTGCCCCTATAGGTCTGTATGGGTCCCTATGACTACATATGCGTTTGTATGGGTACGAATGTATCTCTATGGGTCCCTATAGGTCCCCTACACGTCCCTATAGGTCCCCATGCATTTATCTCTATGGGTCCCTATTGGGTGCAATTGGTGCCTATGGGTTCCTAAGGATTCCTATGGGTCCCTATGGCTTTCTAGGAGTCCCTATGGCTTCCTGTGGGTTTCTATGGATCCCGATGTGTCCCTATGGATCTTTATGGGTCGCTATGGGTGCCTGTGGCTCACTAAGGCTTTCTACAGATGCCTATGGGTCCCTTTGGGTTTCTATGGGTCGCTATGTTTCCCTATGATTTTCTATGAGTCTGAACGTATCTCTATGGTTCCCTATTGATGGTTCCCCATGTGATGTGGTCTACCTAGACTTCAGCAAAGCCTTTGGCACTGTCTCCCACAGCATTCTCCTGCAGAAGCTGGCAGCCAGAGGCTTGGATGGATGCACTCTTGGCTGGGTGAGGAGCTGGCTGGAGGGCCGGGCTCAGAGAGTGGTGGTGAATGGAGTCAAATCCAGCTGGCGACCGGTCGTGAGCGGTGTTCCCCAGGGCTCGGTGCTGGGGCCTGTCCTCTTCAGTATCTTTATTGATGACCTCGATGAGGGCATCGAGTGCACCCTCAGTAAATTCGCAGATGGCACCAAATGGGCTGGAAGTGTGGATCTGCCTGGGGGTAGCGAGGCCCTGCAGAGGGATCTGGACAGGCTGGAGAGCTGGGCTGAAGCCAATAGGATGAGTTTCAACAAGGCCAAATGCCGGGTCCTGCACTTCGGCCACAACAACCCCAGGCGACACTGCAGGCTTGGGGCGGTGTGGCTGGAGGACGGCGTAGAGGAAATGGACCTGGGGGTATGGATGGATGCTGGGCTGAACATGAGCCCACAGTGTGCCCAGGTGGCCAAGAAGGCCAAGGGCAGCCTGGCTTGCATCAGAAACAGCGCTGCAAGCAGGAGCAGAGAGGTGATTGTGCCCTGTGCTCAGCACTGGTGAGGCCGCACCTCGAGTGCTGTGTCCAGTTTTGGGCCCCTCACTGCAAGAAAGACATTGAGGCCCTGGAACGTGTTCAAAGGAGGGCAACGAAATGGTGAGGGGTCTGGAACACAGGGCTGCTGAGGAGAGGCTGAAGGAGCTGGGGTTGTTCAGCCTGGAGGAGAGGAGGCTCAGGGGAGACCTCACTGCTCTCTATGGCTGCCTGAAGGGAGGTTGTGGTGAGCTGGGGGTCGGCCTCTGCTCTCGTGTCATCAGTGATAGGAGCAGGGGGAATGGCTTCAAGCTGCGGCAGGGGAGATTCAGGCTGGACATGAGGAAGTGTTACTGTTCAGAAAGGGTGGTCAGGCACTGGAATGGATGCCCAGGGAGGTGGTGGAGTCACCGAGCCTGGGGGTGTTCAAGGAAAGGCTGCATGTTGTGCTGAGGGACGTGGTTCAGTGGGAGCTACTGGGAATGGGTGAACGGTTGGACTGGGTGATCTTTGAGGTCTTTTCCAACCTTGGTGATTCTATGATTCTGTGATTCTATTGGTCTCTACGGTTCCCTATATTCCTCTACGGGTCCCTATGGATCTCTATGGCTCTCTATCGGTGCCTATGGGTCGCTGTGGGTTGCTCTATATCTTTATATTTCCCTATGGGTCCCTATAGGTCCCCATATATCTCTAAGGGTGCCTACGTGTCCCTACATGTCCCTATGCGTCCCTACGGGTCCCTATAGTTTTCTATGGGTCTCTATGAGTCCCTATATATCTCTATGATTCCCTATGTGCCCCTATATGTCTCTATGGGTCCCTAGGGGGATCTCTATGTTTCTCTCTGTGTGCCTATGGGTCTCTATGGGTCACTGTATATCTCTTTATGGCTCGCCATAGGTCTGTAAATGTCCCTATGGGTCCCTATGTGTCTCTATGGGTCCCCCTGTTTCCCTATGAATCTCTATGGGTCCCTATGGGTGTCTATGGCTCCCTATGGTCTCTATGGGTCGCTACGGATACCTATGTGTCCCTACGGCTCCCTATGGGTCCCTATGTATCCCTATGGGTCCCCATGGGTCCCTATGTGTCTCTATGTATCTATAGGTCGTCATGGGTCGCTATGGGTCACTATGTATCTCCATGGGTCCCTATGACTCCCTATGGGTTTCTATGGGTTCGAATGTATCCCTGTGGGTCCCTATGGGTCCGTATAAGTCCCTATAGATCTCTATGGGTCCCTATGGGTCCTTATGGGGCCCTATGCATTCCTATGGCTCGCTATGTGTGTCTAAGGCCCCCTGTGGGTCTATGGGTCGCTATGGCTCCCTATGGCGCCCTATGGCTCCCTATTTCTCCCTTTGTATCCCTATGGGTCCCTATGGTTCACTATGCATCTCTATCGGTCCCCATGAGTCCCCATGGGTCCCTTTGTATCTCTATGGGTCTCTATGGGTCTCTTTGGGTCGCTATGGGTCCCTATGTATCTCTATGGCTTTCTATCGGTCCCTATGGCTCGCCATAGGTCTCTATGGTTCCCGAAGAGTCCGTACAAATCCCCATCGTTTTCTATGGGTTCCCTATGTATCTCTATGGGTCCTATGAGCCCGTATAGCTCTGCATGGGTCCCTATGGCTCCCTATGGGTCAATCTGGGTCCCTATGAGTTTATATGGGACTGAATGTATCTCTATGGGGCTCTATGCAGCCCTATGTCTCCCTATGGTTCTCTATGGGTCCCTATGAGTTTATATGGGACTGAATGTATCTGTATGGGTCCCTATAGCTCGCCGTAGGTCTCTGTGGGTCTCTATGGGTCACTATATGTCCCTATTTATCACTATGGTTCCCTATGGTTCCCTATGGGTCCCTATGGGTCCCTATGTATCTTTATCTGTCCCTATGGCTGATACATAAAGATACATAAAGATGTATATATAGATAAAGATGTATATATAGAAAATAGCTCCTTATGGATCCCTATGGCTCCCTACGGGTTTCTATGGGTCCGAATGTATCTCTATGGGTCCCTATGCATCCCCATGGCTTCTTAGGGGTCCCCATGTGTTCCTATGGCTTCCTATGGGTTTCTATGGATTCCTATGGGTCCCTCTGGATCTTTATGGGTCCCTATTGTTCCCTGTGGGTCTCCATGGGTCCCTATGGACCTCTGTGTGTCTCAGTCTCTGCCTATGGGTCACTGTGGGTCGCTATACATCTTTATGGGTCCCTATGTGTCCCTATAGGTCCCCATGCATCTCTATGGGTCTCTATTGGGTGCAATGGGTGCCCATGGTTCCCTATGGGTTTCTATGGGTCGCTATGGGTGCCTATTTGTCTCCGTGGGTCCCTATGTGTGCCTATGGGTCTCTATGGGTTGCTATGGGTCCCTATAAGTACCTATGCAGCCCTATGGTTCTCAATGGTTCCTTATAGTTCCCTATGGGTCCCTATGTGTTCCTGTGGGTCCCTATGCGTCCCTATGTGTTCCTATGCGACTCCATGTGTCGCTTTGGGTCGATATGGGTCGCTATGTATCTCCATGGGTCCCTGTTGCTCCCTGTGGGTTTCTATGGGTCCGAATGTATGTCAATGGGTCCATATGGGTCCATATAGGTCCCCATGCATCTCTAAGGGTCCCTATGCATTTCTACAGTCCCTATGGATCCCAATGGTTTCTATGGGTCTGAATGTATGTCTATGGGTCCCTATGCAGCCCTATGGTTCTCTTGGGTTCCCTGTGGGTAATTATGGTTCTCCATGGGTCCCTATGGGTCCCTATGTATCTCTATGAGTCCCTCTGTGCCCCTATAGGTCTCTTTGTGTCTCTATGGGTGCCTATGGGTCTCTATGGGTGCCTATGTGTTTCTATGGTTCCCTATGTGTCTCTATGGATCCCTAGAAGACACTGTGACTCCCTATGGGCCCCTATGTGCCCCTAGAGGTCTCTATGGGTCCCTATGGATCTGTATGGGTCGCTAGGGGTCACTGTATATCTCCATTGGTCCCTATGGCTCCCTGTAGGTCCCCATGCATCTGTATGGGTCTCTATTGGGTACAATGGGTCCCTATGAGTTTGTATGGGTCTGAATGTATCCCTATGGTTCTTTATGGGTCCCTATGGGTCTCCATGGGTCTCCATGGGTGTCTATGGCTCCCTCTGGGTTTCTATGGGTCCTTATGTATCTCTCTGGGTCCCTATGTTTCCCTATATATCCCTATAGATCTCTATGGGTCCTTATGGGTCCCTATGGGGCCCTATTCATCCCCATGGCTCCTTAGGGGTCCCTATGGGGCCCTATGGGTCCTATGGGTCCCTGTGGCTCCCTATGCAGCCCTATGGATTTCTATGCAGCCCTATGGTCCTCTATGGTCCTCTATGGTTCCCTACAGGTTCCTATGGGTCTCTACGGGTTTCTATGGGTCTCTATGGGTTTCTATGGGTCTGAATGTATCTGTATGGGTCCCTATAGTTCTATCTATGGGTCTCTATGGGTCTCTATGTGTCTCTATGGGTCACTATATTTCACTATGGGTCCCTATTTATCACTATGTTTCTTTATGGGTCCCTATGGGTCCCTGTGGGTCCCTATGGGTCTCTATGGCTCCATATGGATCCCTATGGTTCTGTATGTATCTCTATCTTTCCCTATGGCTCTCTATAGCTCCCTATGGATCCCTATGGATCCCTATGAGTTTCTATGGGTCTGAATGTATCTCTGTGGGCCTCTATGTCTCCATGTGTGTCCCTATGGCTCTCCATAAGTTTATATGGTTCCCTGTGGGTCCCTATACAGCCCTATGGTTTTCTATGGGTCCCTGAGGGTCACTGTAGCTCCCTATGGGTCGCTATGGGTCCCTATGAGTTTCCCTGGGACTGAATGTATCTCTACAGGTCCCTATGCAGTCCTATGGATCTCTAAGGGTCCCTATGCGTCTCTATAGCTCCCAATATCCCATGGTTCCTTATGTAACCTTATGAGTCTCCCTGCGTCTCTGTGGGTCCCTATCGGTCCTTACATCTCGCCATAGGTCTCTATGGGTCTCTGTGGGTCTCCATGTTTCTCTGTGAGTCCCTATGAGTTTCTATGGGTCTCTATGTATCCCTATGGGTACCTATGTAGCCCTGTAGTTCTCCATGGGTCCCTATGGGTCTCTATAGCTCTCTATGGGTCTCTATAGGTCCCTATGGATCCCTATGAGTTTCTATGGGTCCGGATGTACCTCTATGGTTCCCTATGGGTCCCTATGGTTCCCTACGTTCCCCTATGGATCTCTATGGGTCCCTATGGATCTCTAGGTGTCTCTATCAGTGCCTATGGGTCGCTGTGGGTCGCTATGTATCTTTATATTTCCCTATGGGTCCCTATAGGCCCCTGTCATGGTTCTACATTTTTATGGTTCCAGTATTCCACTCCAAACATCACGCAGTGAACGGGGCATTAAAGTGTCACTGCCCCAGTCCCAGGTTCCCATCCCTGCACATGGCAGCAGTCCCGGGATCTGGCCCTTCCGGGTGGGGGGGCGCTCTCTTGCTGCCTGGCAGTGGGTGCTGGAGGTGCTTTCCTGTCTCTTTATGGGTCCCTGTGGGTCCCTATAGGTCGCTATGATTTTCTCTGGGTCTGAATGTATCTCTATGGATCCCTATGCAGCCTTGTAGTTCTCCATGGGTCCCTATGGGTCTCTATGGCTCCATATGGCTCCCTATGGTTCCTTACGTGTCGCTATGGGTCGCGATGGGTTGCTATGTATCTCCATGGGTCCCTATGACTCCCTATGGTTTTCTCTGGGTCCGATTGTATCTCTGTGGGTCCCTGTGGGTCCCTCTATGGGTCCCTATGCATCCCTATCTTTCTTGGTGACCTGGATGAGGGCATAGAGTGCAGCCTCAGCAGGTTTGCAGATGACACCAAGCTGGGAGGTGGTGTGGATCTGCCTGAGGGCAGGGCGGCCCTGCAGAGGGATGTAGACAGGCTGGAGCGCTGGGCCGAGGTGAATGGGATGAGGTTCAAGAAGGCCAAGTGCCGGGTTCTGCACTTTGGGCACAACGACCCCATGCAGCGGTACAGACTTGGGGGTGAGTGGCTGGATGAGTGTGAAGAAGAGAAGGAGCTGGGGGTGTTGGTTGGTGCTGGGCTGAACGTGAGCCCACGGTGTGCCCAGGTGGCCAAGAGGGCTGGCGGCATCCTGGCCTGCATCAGAAACAGGGTGGCCAGCAGGAGCAGGGAGCTGAGCATCCCCTGTACTCAGCGCCGGTGAGGCCGCACCTCGAGTGCGGGGTTCGGTTTGGGGCTCCTCACTCCAGGAAAGATGTGGAGGTCCTGGAGCGTGTGCAGAGAAGGGCAGCGAAACGTGCGAGGGGTGTGGAGCACAAGCCTTGTGAGGAGCGGCTGAGGGAGCTGGGATGGTTCGGTGTGGAGAAGAGGAGGCTCGGGGGAGAGCTGATGGCACTGCACAAGCTGCTGAAGGGAGGCTGTGGCGAAGAGGGGTTTGGCCTCCCAGGCAACGAGCAGCACGCGGGGCGATGGCCGCAAGCTGTATCAGAGGAGGTTGAGGTTGGCCGTAAGGAAGAGCTGCTTCTCCCTGAGAGTGCTCAGGCTCTGCAATGGCTGCCCAGGGAGGGGGTGGAGTCGCCGTCCCTGGCGGCGCTCCAGAGGCGTCTGGACGACGTGCTGCATGCTGTGCTTGAGTACCAGTGGTGGCAGTGGTGATGAGGAGGCGCTTGGACTGGATGATCTGAGAGGTCGTTTCCAACCTTGGGATTCTAGGATTCTATGGCTCCCTATGGGTTCCTATGGGTCCTTATGGGGCCCTATGCCTCCCTATGGCTCCCTATGTGTGTCTATGGCTCCCTATGGGTCTCTATGGCTCCCTATGGGTTTCTATGTGCCCAAATGAATCTCTGTGTGTCCCTACGGCTCCCAATAGATCCCAATAGATCTCTATGGGTCTCCATGGGTCCCTCTGGTTCCCTATGTATCTCTATGGGTCGCTCTGTGTCGCTATGGCTCCCTATGTGCGTCTATGGCTCCCTATGGCTCCCTATGGCTCCCTATGTTTCTCTATGAATGCCTATGCGTCTCTATGGCTCCCTATGGGTTTCTATGTGTCCATATATATCTCTATGGTCCGTATGGTCCCCATATATCCCAATAGATCTCTATGGGTCTCCATGGGTCCCTGTGCTTCCCTATGTATCCTTATGAGTCTCTATAGGTTGCTATGGGTCGCTATCTCTCCCTATGTGTCCCTATGGGTCCCTATGAGTTCCTATGGGACTCAATGTATCTCTATGGGTCCTTAAGGGTCCCTATGGTTCCTATGGGTCCCTTTGGCTCCCTATGAGTCGCTATGGGTCCCAGTGTGTCCCTATGTGTCCCTTTGGGTCCCTATGGATCTCTATGGGTCCCTAGATGTCCCTATGGGTCCGTATGCATCTCTATAGCTCCCAATATCTCCCTATGGTTCCTTTTGTATCCTTATGGGTCTCTCTGGGTCTCTATGGCTCCCTATGATTTTCTGTGGGTCTGAATGTAACCCTATATTAATTTATGGGTCCCAAAGGGTCCCTATCGGTCCCTATGGATCTCCATGTGTCCCTGTGGTTCCCTGTGGATCCTTATGGGTCCCTATGCAGCCCTATGTTTCTCTATGGTTTTCTACAGGTCGCTTAGGGTCCCATTGGGTCGCCATATGTCTCTATGGGACCCAGTGGGTCCCTATGGGTCTGAATGGATTTCTATGTGTCTTCATCGGTCTCTATGGCTCCCTATGGGTCCCTATCGGTCCCTATGGCTCGCCATATCTCTCTATGGTTCCTTAAGGGTTCCCTTTAGAGCCCTGTGGTTTTCAATGGGTCCCTAGGGGTCCCTATGTATCACTATGGGTCTCTATGCGTCCCTATGAGTTTCTATGTGTCTGAATGTACCCCAATGGGTACCTATGTAGCCCTGTAGTTCTCCATGGGTACCTATGGGTCCCTACAGGTCTCTATAGCTCTCTATGGCTCTCTATGGCTCTCTATGGGTCCCTACGGATCCCAAAGAGTTTCTATGGGTCTGAATGTATCTCTATGGGTCCCTATGGGTCCCAGTTGCACGCCATAGGTCCCTATGGGACTCTATGGGACTCTATGTATCCCTATGGCTCACAATAGGTCCAAATGGGTCCCTATGGTTTACTATGGATCCCTATGGGTCCCTATGGGTCGCTATGATTTTCTCTGGGTATTAATGTATCTCTGTATATCCCTATGCAGACCTTTAGTTCTCAATGGGTCTCTATGGGTCTCTATGGCTCCATATGGCTCCCTATGGGTCTCTATGTGTCCAAATGTATCTCTATGGGTCCCTACGGCTCCCTATAGATCCCAATAGATCTCTATGGGTCCCTATGGGTCCCTATACAGCTTACGGTTTTCTATGGATCTCTATGCAGCCCTATGAGACTCTATGAGTCTCTATGGGTCTTCATGGGTCCCTATGGATCACTATGTTTCTCTATCGGTGCCTATGGCTCCCCATGGCTCCCTACGGGTCTCTCTGGGTCCCTGTCGTTCCCTATCAGTCCCTATCAGTCCCTATCTGTCCCTTTCGGTCCCTATGACTCGCCATAGGTCCCTATGGGTCCCTATGCGGCCCTATGGCTCGCCATAGGTCTCTACGGGTCCCTACGAATCCCGATGGTCCCTATGTGTCCCTATAGGTCCTTACGGGGCCCTATGAACCATATGGCTCCCTATGTGTGTCTATGGATCCCTGTGGACTGAATGTATCTCTATGGGTCTCTATACAGCCCTATGCTTCTTCATGGGTCCCTATGGGTCCCTATGGTTGCCTATGTGTCCCTATGGGTCTCTATGGGTCCCTGTCAGTCCCTTTTAGGAAGTATTACTTTTCAGAAAGGGTGGTCAGGCACTGGAACGGACTGCCCAGGGAGGTGGTGGAGTCACCGACCCTGGGGGTGTTCAAGGAAAGACTGGATGTTGTATTGAGGGACATGGTTTAGTAGGAGCTATTGGGAATAGGTGAACGGTTGGACTGGATGATCTTTTAGGTCTTTTCCAACCTTGGTGATTCTATGATTCTATGATTCTATGATTCTATGTCTCGCCAGATGTCTCTATTGTTCCCAATGGGTTCCCTTTAGAGCCCTGTTGTTTTCTATGGGTCCCTATGGTTTTCTCTGGGTCCCTATGGGTGCCTATGGGTGTCTATGTGTCCCTATGGGTGCCTATGTGTCCCCATGGGTCTTTATGGTCCCTGTCAGTCCCTATGGCTCGCCATATGTCTCCATGGTTCCCAATGGGTACCCTTTAAAGCCCTATGGTTTTCTATGGGTCTCTATGGGTCCCTATGGATGCCTTTGGGTCCCTATGTACCTCTATGAGTCCCTATGGTTCCCTTATGAGTCTCTATGGGTCCCTATGGTTAACTATGTATCTCTATGTGTCTCTAGGGGTCCCTTGTGGTTCTCCATTGGTCGCTATGGGTCCCTATGAGTTTCTATTGTTCTCTATGGTTCTCTATGGGTCCCTATGTTTCCCTATAGGTCAATACGGAATTCTAGGTGTCCCTAGGGCTCCCCATGTATCTCTATCTGTCCCTTTGGGTCTCTTTGGTTCTCCATGGGTCCCTATGGTTCTCCATGTGTCCCTGTGGGTTTCTATGGGTCCCTATGGGTCTCCATGGGTCCCTATGGTTCCCTATGAATGCCTATAGGTCCCTATGTGCCCCTATAGGTCTCCAGGGGTCCCTATGGTTCCTTATGTATCTCTATGGGTCCTTAAGTGCCCCTATAGGTCTCTATCGGTCCCTATGGCTCCATATGTGTTTCTATGGGTCCGAATGTATCTCTATGGGTCGCTATGTGTCCCTATAGGTCCCCATGCATCTCTATGGGTCCCTAAGCATCCCTATGTGTTTCTATGGGGCTCTATGGGGCCCTATGCGTCCCTATAGGTCCCCATGCATCTCTATGGTTCCCTAAGCATCCCTATGTGTCCCTATGGGGCTCTATGAGGCATCTATCTCTATGGGTCCCTATTGGGTGCAATGGGTGCCTATGGGTCCCTAAGGATTCCTATGGGTGCCTATGTTTCTATGGGTCTTTATGGGTTGCTATGGGTCGCTATGTATCTCCATGGGTCCCTATGGCTCCCTACCGGTTTCTGTGGGTCTGAATGGATCTCTATGGCTCCCTATGCATCCCCATGGCGCCTTAGGGGTTCCTATGTGTCCCTATGGCTTTCTAGGAGTCCCTATGGCTTCCTGTGGGTTTCTATGGATCCCGATGTGTCCCTATGGATCTTTATGGGTCACTATGGGTGCCTGTGGCTCCCTATGACTTTCTACAGATGCCTATGGGTCCCTTTGGGTTTCTATGGGTCGCTATGTTTCCCTATGATTTTCTATTAGTCTGAATGTATCTCTATGGTTCCCTGTGGGTCCCTAGGGTTCCCTATGTATCTCTATGGGTCCCTATGTTCCCCTAGAGGTCTCTATGGGTCCCTATGGATCTCTAGGTGTCTCTATCGATGCCTATGGGTTGCTGTGGGTCGCTATATATCTTTATATTTCCCTATGGGTCCCTATAGGTCCCCATGCATCTCTATGGGTCCCTATGGGTCCCTATGGGTCCCTGTCAGTCCCTATGGCTCGCCATATGTCACTATGTTTCCCAATGGGTTCCCTTTAGAGCCCCATGGTTTCCTATGGGTCTCTATGAGTACCTATGGCTCCCTAAGTACCTCTATGGGTCCCTATGGTTCCCTATGGGTCTCTGTGGGTCCCTATGGTTAACTATGTATCTCTATGTGTCTCTAGGGGTCCCTGTGCTTCTCCATTGGTCGCTATGGGTCCCTATGAGTTTCTATGGTTCTGAATGCATCTCTATGGTTCTCTATGGGTCCCTATGGGTCCCTACGGGATTCTAGGTGTCCCTATGGGTCCCTATGGTTCTCCATGTGTCCCTGTGTGTTTCTATGGGTCCCTATGGGTCTCCATGGGTCCCTATGGTTCTCCATGTGTCCCTGTGGGTTTCTATGGGTCCCTATGGTTCCTTACGGATCTCTATGGGTCCTTAAGTGCCCCTATAGGTCTCTATGGGTCCCTATGTCTCCATATGCGTTTCTATGGCTCCGAATGTATCTCTATGGGTCCCTATGTGTCCCTATAGGTCCCCATGCATCTCTATGGGTCTCTATGGGTCCCTAAGCATCCCTATGTGTCCCTATGGGGCTCTATGATGCCCTATGGGGCCCTATGCGTCCCTATAGGTCCCCATGCATCTATCTCTATGGGTCTTTCTAAGATGGATTTCTAAGTGTCTCTATCGGTGCCTATGGGTCGCTGTGGGTCGCTCTATATCTTTATATTTCCCTCTGGGTCCCTATAGGTCCCCATACAACTCTATGGGTCTCTGTGGGTCCTTAAGCATCCCTATGGCCCCTATGGGTCCCTATGGCTCCTTATGTGTCTCTATGGGTCCCTATGGCTCCTTATGTGTCTCTATGGGTCCCTATGGGTGTCTATTGCTCCCTATGGTCTCTATGGGTCGCTACGGATGCCTATGTGTCCCTATGGCTTCCTATGCATCTCTATGGGTCTGTATGGTTCTTTATTGTCCCTATGGTTCCCTATGGTTCCCTATGGGTCTGTATGGGTCGCTATATTGCCTGTGGGTCCCACTGGTTCCCTACGTATCTCTCTGGTTCCCTATGGGTCTGTATGGCCCCCTTTGGCTCCCTATGGTTGCCTATTTATCCCTATGAGTCCCAACAGGTCCCTATGTGTCTCTGTGTATCTGTATGGGTCGTAATGGGTCGCTGTGTATCTCAATGGGTCCCTATGACTCCTTATGGGATTCTGTGGGTTCGAATGCATCTCTGTGGGTCCCTATACGTCTCTATAGATCTCTATGGCGCCCTATGGCTCCCTATTTATCGTTTTGTATCCCTATGGGTTCCTATGGTTCACTATGTATCTCTATCTGTCCCAATGGGTCTCTATGGTTCCCCATGGGTCCCTATGGTTCCCTATGTATCTCTATGGTTCCCTATGTGCCCCTATAGGTCTCTATGGGTCCCTATGGATCTCTATGTTTCTCTATGAATGCCTATAGGTCTCTATGGCTCCCTATGGGTTTCTATGCATCCAAATGTATCTCTATGGGTCTCTATGAGTTTCTATGGGACTGAATGTATCTCTATGGGGCCCTATGCAGCCCTATGTCTCCCAATGGGTCTCTATGCGTCCCTATGAGACTCAATGACTCCCTATGGGTCCCTGTGGTTCCCTATGCTTCCATATGCTTCTGTATGCTTCCGTATGCTTCCCTATGGGTCCCTATGGGTCCCTATGAATCTCTATGGGTCTCTATGGGTCCTATGAGTTTTTATGGGTCTGAATGTATCTCTGTGGGTTCCTATGCAGCCCTGTGGTTCTCTATGGGTCCATATGTGTCCCTATGGGTCCCTATTGTTCTCTATGGGTCGTTGTGGGTGCCTATAAGTCCCTATGGCTCCCTATGTATCTCTATGGGTCCCTGTGGGTTCCTTTGGTTCCCTGTGTATCTTTATGGGTCCCTATGTATCTTTATGTGTCTCTATGGGTTCCTGTGTCTTTATGTGTCTTTATGTGTCTCTATGGGTTCTCTGTGGGTTCCTATGCAGCCCTGTGGTTCTCTATGGGTCCATATGTGTCCCTATGACTCCCTATGGCTCTCTCTGAGTCCCTGTCGGTCCCTATGGATTTCTATCGGTCGCTATTAGTGGCATTGGGTCACATTGGGTCGCTATGTATCTCCATGGGTCCCTATGACTCCCTATGTGTTTCTATGGGTTCGAATGTATCTCTGTGGGTCCCTATGGGTCCCTATATGTCCCTATAGATCTCTAAGGATCCCTATGCATTCCTATGGTCCCTATGGGTCCCTATGGGTATTTATGGGGCCCTACAAATCCCTATGGCTCGCTATGTGTGTCTATAGTGACCCTGTGAGTCTATGGGTCACTATGGGTCCCTAAGTGTTTCCATGGGTCTGAGTGTATCCCTATGGGTCCCTATGGGTTCCTATGGGTCCCTATGGTTCTCTATGTATCTCTATCTGTCCCTTTGGGTCTCTATGGGTCCATATCGTCCCTATGGCTCCTATGTATCTCTATGGGTCTCTATGGGTCCCTATGGGTCGCTATGTGTCACTATATATCTCCGTGGGTCCCTATGGCTTCCTATTGGTCCCTAGAGGTCCCCATGCGTCTCTCTGGGTCTCTATTGGGTGCAATGTTTCCCTAAGGGTCCCTTTAGGTGCCTATCGGTCTCTATGGG